TCATCTAATATAATTTATATTTTTTTAAAAAATAGCATTTTTTTTTAAATGTCCATATATTTATTTAGTCTAATATTTATAGTCCATAAATAAGATTTTATAATTAGAATAGAAAATAATATATTTTTAAAATTCTTTTAGGTGTCCCAGAAGAGACTAAGGACATACACACTGTAGAGCCGGCGCCGTACCTGCTGCATTACACAAATCCAAGGGAATTCATTGCAACATTTCAATATTTCATAAACAGAATTACTAGTAGAGATTTGATATTTTTTTCTTAAGTGATAATAAATATCCATATTTTTATAATATTAATTAATATTATTTTTAATCCTTTTATTTGGCATAAAATAAAAATAATAATATTAATTATAAAAATATTAATTTTTATGTAATATAGTGAAACATTTATAAGCTTTTTCCAAAAATATTCTTAAAAAATTTGCTCTACAGATATCCTCTCACCTTTTTAAATTTTAATTTAGAATACAAGTCAGCGAAATTTATCAAGACAAGTACTATCAATTATTAATATGTGGCCATTTTTGCATGAAAAGATGTTGGACAAAGGGAGAGGTGGGGTATTAAATTTCATTAATTAAATCCTTTTTAAATTAATTCTCCCATGATTCCACCATAGTTTTCCAAATAAATATTTAATGCTAGCACCTAAGCTAGCCCCGTGAACTGAGAAAGACCCGGGCAGCCATTTTCATGCGGATCACTTTATGTCTTTGTCAATTTTAATCGTGGTGCCTCAAGTCTAGAATATCTTTTTCCTTCTTATCAAAAAAAAAAAAGAATATCTTTTTCCTCCTTATAAGAGTAAGACAGCTGGCACCTCGTCGTCAATCACTAGTTCATTAAAATATATTACTTCTGGTCCTAATTATAAAAGCTAGTTGATTAATTAAAGAGATTAAAAAAAAGTTAAGCTAGTTATTTATAATAAATATTTGTTGTTTTTTCTAAAATATCCTTACTAATCAAATTTATTGGTTAGAACTATTATTATTAGAGGGACTACCTTAAGAAAAAATGCATAAATATGAGAGACAAAACGGATTAGAGTCTTATAATTAAGAGTAAAATAAAAGTCAAACAAAATCTTATATTAAAAACTTGAGGTAGAAGTTCATTAAAATACTTATAAATTGTAAACTAACTCATAACATAAAGAAAAAAATTCCAAAACAAAAACCCTAAAAAAAAACTCAGAAACAACAAATTATTTATTCAAATTTCAATAAGAACAATACTTATATCAATTTTTTTATATTTATCATGTTAAATTTTTCAATTACATATGGTCATGCATCCTAGATCCTATCATTGAAATATTATCATTTATTTATAAACCCACATGAAAAAAAAAAACACATGAGCACATATAATTAAAAGACTCGATTTAAATACTTTTCTCTAAATAATTCTAAATTTCTATCTAAATGAAATTTTGAAATATTAGTATTTTTATAATATTTACCTTTCGCTAACAAGAAAACCCCTCACTTTTTTTGTTCTCCAAAAAATGCTTTGTTATTAGCCTTGTTAGCAGGTTAACAAAGCTCCCACGACTGGTGATTGGAGTTTTGGCCGTAAAGGCTATGATTTCTATAGGCAAAATTAGCTGATAAAGTATGGTAAACAACTAATAAAGTGTAAATATCCTGAAATATCTGTTATTTCCGAATCAAGTATAACAGATAGCAAATGAAATATAGTAACTAACTAATAATGTGTAAAATAAATATTTAATACACTTCACTATTTATTTATAACACTTATTAACAAATGACAACATAATTTTCTAAATTTCACAATTGAATTTTCAAGATATTTACAACACTTTCATTAGAGATATACTTTTTTTTTTAATGAAACTAGATAAAAGTTTTACAGAATGCCAGAGCATAAAGAACAAACATAATTAGAAAATAACCTACAAAAAGAAGCTAAGGAATAACTTTTACATAAGAAAAAAGAAAAATCACACAATAAAACAAATTTTCCTGCCAAATTATTAAAGCCGGAAGATTCACAATGAGCTCAAAAAAATAAAACAAATTTTAAAAATTATTATTTTTTATTCTAAAACTTGTTCTTACATGCTATTTAGATTCTTCTGGGGATCTTTTAGTAATTATCTTTTTTAGGGTTTTATTATAATTCTCCTTTAAGAAGCAGAAAAATTAATGAAACTTTTCGTGACAGAAGTGATATACAAAGAAGGACTGGGTTAATCAACTTTAAAGAGGTGTCTGAATGAAAACTAAACCATAATTTCAAAAAAGTTTTTATGATTTACGAAATAAATATATGAAAAAATTTATCTCATTTTATAAAAAAGTGCTTTTTAGAAATATTTTTTAAGGTTACCAAACACGTCCTTAGTCATAATTCATAGCGTTGGAAATCTGGCATCTGGCCATCAACAAGGTGATGCCGACAGGGCGGCGTTTAAAAAAAGTGAGGGGCAGTAATTTTTTTCCCCAACATGTCAAAATTTTACATCAACATCGAGTCATTGATTTGGTATTTTGAAAAGTTGAATAGCTGATTTGTCAATTTTAAATTTTTAGGGTATTTTTTAAGGATATTCCTTCAAATAAAGTTCAAATAATTATTTTAGCTGTAAAATCATATTTTTATCTTTAAAATGCAGTACAAATTTTCAAAAACTATTTTTACTTTGAAACAAATTATATCTAAAAGATGAATTTTGGAAAAAAAATTTGTGTAACATGTTTAATTAGATACAAAATTGCGCCATTATATTTCTCCTAATTTAGATTTATTTATATTATCTAGGTTAATCTTACTTTTTATTTATTTATTCTCAAAACATTAGATCTGAACAATACATGAAAGTGTAAAAAATTTATATAAAAATAAAAAATAATTTTTCCTTTAATAATATATTATGTAAAAACACATATAGTCCATATTAATCGATATATTACGTAAAAATATGTAAAGTCTTTCCGTGTTATTCATAATATATGAGTATAATAATATGAACATACTAATTTGTTTAATACTATTCCCTCGTTCCTTATTATAAGAGACAAATAACCGAAGTACGTTGATAAAAAAAAACAGTTAAAATTAGTTAAGAACAATTAATGTGCAAAAAAGTATAATTTTTTTCCAAAAATGCCCTCATTAATAAGAAGAGAGAGCATGAGAGAGAACAATTAAATTATTAAAAGAAAGAGAAGTGGGAGGGAGAGAGAGTGTGAGTTGGAGATAATAAATATGGGTAAAATAGTAAATCAACACAAAAAAGTAGAGACAACTTGTAAGTGTCTCTTATATATAGGAACATGTTATAAGCATCAAATGTCTCTTATAATAAGGAACGGAGGGAGTACTATAACCTAATTTTTTTTAGGAAGAATATCATAAAAAGAAATTTGAAATATTAAATCCCACATAAAAAATTCTTCTAAAAATATGTTGTTATTTATAAATCTAATATTATTAAAACTTATTAAAGTATTGTTATCAAACCTAACTTAAAATTTACTAATTACAAGCTTATTTTTTTAAGAGATTTTCCTTTTTTTTAATATTATCTATGTGCGGGCGTAAATAATGTATTATTAGTTACTTAATATTCATTGACGTGACATCAGGAAAAAATGCACCTGTTGATAAGGTTGGATTTGGATCGGCCTATCCCACTTAGTGAGTAGTGACCAGGCAAGCAAACGAACGACCACAGCTTCCGCAATAGCTTTTGCTTTATCAAAATATTATCTCTAATTTTAATTATAAGATTGTTTAAAATCTATAAATAAATTTTTTGAACTCAACCCTTTTAAAAGCATCTTTTTGTTTTCTTGTTTTATTTTTTTGGTCTTAGCCCTTTTAAACAAAATCCCAAATAAATAATAATCAGTAATATAATAATTTCAAAATTCATTTTCATCATTCCAAAAATCATAAACAACTATAAAAGCTCTAAATAAATAATAATCATACAATTACATATATGCTAAAAGCTACAAATATAAACATTTTGTATTACACATACCTTAACCATTTTGCATTTTGAGCAATTAATACTTATAATATAAAAAAAATTAAAAAGAAAAATATTACTACCGGGCACCATCCCGTTCTGTCTCTGTCCCATTTTCCTTCCGTTCCCAATATAACCAGAACTGGGACAGGCCTATTTTAAGTACTTCCTTTCATTTTTATTATATAATATATTCTAAAAGTAATTTTTGATTTTAAACAGGAGTCTTTTATCATCATTTTCACTTAATTATATGTCTCTTGTGTTTTTTTACGCTCATTTTCTTTTATCATTCTTTTCACTTATTCTCTCTTCTAGTTTTCCTTTCCCATCCATAAATAAAAGTGTCTTAGAAAAAAGAAATTACATTTAACTAATTTTAATTAACTTTTTGAATTGCATGATTTAGTTATTTAATGCTTATATTTTGAATTGCATGGTTACAATTACAAACTAAATCTTATATTAAAAAAGAAGGCAGTAGAAGTCTATCTTATTTGCCCTCTATGCATTTATTTAAAAAAATAATCTTTGAGCAGATACAAATTATCAATGATTCTTTTTTTTTTTGGCCAACATTATTAACGACTCACTAATATTGTTATCACAAGTTAGTAAAAAAAGCAGTGTGTGTAAACATGTCACAATGTCATTGGTGATTAGTACTACTGCCTGGTAGGTACGGTTGACCAACAAGTGTCTACATAGAATGATAAGTTGTTCTGTATCACATCCTAATCATAATGTCGCATCCGTGGATAAAAGTAGAAGTGATTTTTTTATCTTTCTGATTTTTTAACAAAATTAAAGAAGGATAAAATTAAAAAACAATAAAAATGATTTATATTTATAACTAAAAATTTTCTCCGCAAGTAACTTGTGCTCAGTGCCGAAATGATAGTTCAATGAGATCAAATGCCTTGGTTGTTAGAAAATTTCCAATCTCCATACACGCTCGCTCTAAAAATTAGGTGGGACCTGATATTTCTCTTATTGCGGGTTGTAATTAGCAGTTCGTTATCATAGGCAAAGCTTCGCATAAATATTTGAGAGATGAACCATACATTCTGTGATTTGTCAGTGGAAAGGTCAAAGTAGCAGAGAGTACTTGCTAGGCGTCATATGCGCCTCTGCACAGTTTCAGAGAGCACTTTGGCAGGTGTCAGCGTTTGCCGCAGAATCACACCGGAGCTCGAGTATCAGTTTGGTCCTCTACATCCATTCGGTTGGATTCCGTCGTATTGTTGGTGAAGAGCCGAGTTGTGTTGTGGTGAAGCTATGGACATTGTAGCCGCACGGAGTCTGCAATTCCCAACATTTGTCAATATCGAGAGACTTGGGGGAAAACATGGTGATTCTCTGAAACTATCTCCGGGTTTTAGGGAGAAGAGCCTTCAAGTTTTTGTTTCAGCTAATTGGCAGTCTGGAAAACCTTTGCGCACAAGGACCCCGCTGAAGCTTGCTTGTTCGGGCAACAATTCTCCAGGTGGCTATAAACAGTAATTACTGTTCCCCCCCCCTCCAGCGATATCCTGGTCTCAAAAGTTGATTCTGGATAGCATTATGATGTTTTATCTGGGTTTTCTCTGCTTCTGTACGATAGGAACTATCTTTGTACCGAAAGTAACACCAATTTTGAACTTGCTGTTGTGCGAAAGAAATCAATGAAAGTAGAGCGGATGTACTGTCTTCTGTGATATGATTTATTTATCACTAATGACTGACTTTACTAGAGGCGCGGGCCATTTCGAGTGTTGACAGTTTATTTCCAACGTCACTTTGCAGTTTCTGCGCTAGAAGCGGGAGGTTTTCAAGGTTCTATTGATGAAGAGTTGATCCTAGAGGTAAAGCGTGACGCGTTTGTATTTTTTCAATTTTAATTGAATTCAGCCTATTCGGTCTAATAAGTTCATAATACAGTTCGGAAAAAAAAAATTGTAATCTGAGCTCAGTTTGTTGCTTGGCTAAGCAGCTATCTACCATTGTCTCACTCAAAATCAGTAAAAATTGCAGAATATCTCGCAAGAGATCGAGCAGCATCTAAATGGCCGCTGTATATATCTTGTTGGTCAGTTTCTTTGTTGAAGTCCGTGTGTTCACATGGTATACGTTGCGATAATAGTTTCTTTGGCACCCAGAATATTTTGTTTTTGACACGCAGGAATGATGGGCTCCGGGAAGACGACTGTGGGTAAAGTTTTGTCACAAGTTCTGAGCTATGACTTTTACGACTGGTTAGTACTCAGATGGAGACCACTCTTCCATCTTTAATCGCTAGAAAAATGTAGTTTTGAAGGAAACCATGGTTAGAAAAAGGAATAACACTAAGTAATGAAGTGATTCGATAGTTTATAGAATTATATTCTTCAATAAGTACCCAATCTGAGCTTCAACAGGGATTAGTGTCAACCTGTTCTGTTGATATTAAAGACTTGGCATACCATAAATTCTGGGGTATAAAATCTAAGGTTGAGACCTCAAAATCACTATGTGCATGTTAAAGTTCCTGCTGAATATTTTCTGCATTTGTTGCACTTGTGCTTCAGTGACGACCTCGTGGAGGACGAAGTTGGAGGAACTTCTGTGGCTGATATATTCGAACACTATGGGGAAGGTTTCTTTCGTGACAAGGAGGTCAGTTGAAAAAGCCTTGTTCTTTTCTCCCCCACCTCGTCTTTTTCAGGATTTTGATGCCTTCCGCCTTCCAAAAACATAGCAAAAATGGCCGAGAAAGTTACTGGTTGCCAAATCCAAGGCATTCTCATAAATGCTCTTTACGTCTCAGTAAATCATGGCCATATAGCACCATTCTTGTTGCTTGGCCTTTCTTAGGGATCCAGTGGCGCTTTCCTGCTGGAGCTCACAAGGCAAATAAGGAGTTGCCCTCATCTTAGCCATTTTTGGAACAAATGCGTACTAATTATTCAATTTCGGAATTTATATACTCATTTTAGCTGCTACAAACTAGCATAACTGGTTTAGTAAAACTAAATATCTGAGAATGATGTGTGCTAACAAGAAGCCACTGCATAATATCACAATTTGCGTTCTATTCTGCAAGAAGACAGTTGGATAAATATAAATAGGTTCATTTTTCTTTTGTGATAACTGTCAGTTTTCATGCCTTCTCTTTTGCCATTTCAGACTGGGGTATTGCGGAAGCTGTCAATGATGAATAGACTTGTTATTGCTACAGGCGGTGGTGCGGTTATAAGGCCCATCAATTGGTCCAATAATCATCACACTAATCATTAAATCTTGTCTTCAACTTTTGAAGGTATTTCTTCCTCAAATCCGTCTAACCATGTACTGATTTTGGGTTGCCAGGAAATATATGTACAAGGGGGTTAGTATTTGGTTGGATGTACCACTAGAGACATTGGCTCGGAGAATTACTGCTGTGGGAACTGAGTCCCGCCCGCTTCTACATAATGAGAGAGGAGACGAATACACACAGGTAAATTACATCTCTTCCTTAGGAACATCTTCTTTTTACATCGAATAAGCCATATTTTTTGAGAATTTAAGATGCTGAGAGAGAAAATGATTTGTCTTGATAGAAGTTACTGCCTCCAGTCCTTAATATAAGACCCTGTTTGACTTTTATTTTGGTCCTAAATATAAAACCCCAATCTATTTTGTTTGTCATATTTATACTTTTTTTTTTCAAAGTAGCCTTTTAACAATGATAGTTCTAGTCAATACACTTGACTAGCAAGGATATTTTAGGAAAGACAACACTTATTTAGGACAAATAACTAACTCAACTTATTTTCTTAATTTCCTCAAATTAGTCAACTGGCTTTTATAATTAGGACCGGAGGTAGTATATTCAAAATCACTTGCTGACTAGTACTTTGATTCTTTGGAATCAAACTGCAGACTTTGATGCGTTTGTCTTCTCTATTAGAAACCAGAGTTGAAGCATATGCTAAAGCCAATACCAGGGTCTCCTTAGAAAGTATGCCGCTGGATATTTTATTCTTTGTTATAAAATCTAATCGTTATTCTCTCCAAAATTTACCCAATGAAAATTCAATGCATGTGCCTTCTGTTGTTTTGTCTAGAAATGGCGCCGAAACTGGGCGACAGAGATGTGTTGGATCTGTCTCCAACTACCATCGCAATTGAGGTCCAAATCTCTTTCTGCCCTACCCGCCTCATCTACTCCATTTTCTTATAAGGCCCTTAGGCCAGTTAAAAGATTCCTTGTGTGGTACATTTTGCATTATTGTTTATTCTCTAATTCGCATCTTTGTACTGATCAGGCATTAATGCAGATTATGGGCTTCCTGAAAGCTACATGTGGATGATGTAATGTCAGATCAAGTCTTCGGAATAATGAATCTTGTAATAGAGTTTGTTTCGTTTTTATTGTCCTTTAAAATCTTTATCATCTCTTTTGTACTTACGTCTACTTCTATTTAAAGGCCTAAGGGTAGCACTATAAATAAAAATCATTCTCATGGTAGTATATTTCTCTATTTTATTTTTCTCCTATATGTGCATGAGACTAATAAAATGATAGCAAAGCTTTAGACTAAAAATATACCTTTAACTAACTAAATTAAAATTTTATATAAAAATAAAAGACTTAAAGTATAATTTTGCCACACATTTAAAAATATTTAAAGGGTAAGCTAATGCTTTTTTTTTGGGACCAGTAAGCTAATGCTTTCTAAATCCTGTTAAAGATGTACAACTTATTATTTTAAACTGTATAAACCATATAATTATATTATTACATCATATATATGCATCTGAAAAACCAAAATTTATCTTGCATTTTATTTTAATCAAATTGTATATGTTTTTTTTAGAGTAAAATACTCTAACCTTCCTCATATTTTGTCTTAATTATATAGACCTCTTTTCTATTTTAAAAGCATATACTTAAATCCAAACTGTTAATTTTGTCAAGAATATTTCAAAAAATATTTTTTAATTCAAATTTATATTGAAATACTTTCTATTTGCTAAATCATCCTTCACAATACTAAATTCCAAAATCTTGGTTAAAACTATATCAAAAAATTTAAGATTTTCTCCTTTACCTTAATTTTATTTTTCTATTTTTAAAAATTGTTTTTTGATTAATGTTTTTATTGTATTGGGCCAAAAAATTAAGTAATTTAGTTAATGCACACATAAATTTAAATGATTTGTATAAGTTTCCAAACTTGCAAAATTTATATTATGTGATAAGAAAATAAGCATTCAAAATATTTTCTAGCCATTTAAAAAAATCTTAAGTTTCAATATTTCATGAGGAACTAAAATTTTATAATTCTATAATATAAAATTAAAAATTTTATAACATATTAAAAATTTTGAAAATACATGTATTATAAATATTTCTTGTTGTATCAAAAATTATTTTTTTATAGATATAAATGTTTAAATAACATTTATGTTAAAGAGAGATATTTTGGTCAAAATAGAAATTTAAAAGTCAAACTTAATAGTCAACTAACGATTAGATGGATGGAAATTGAACTTTAAAAATATAAGGAAGGTTTGTATAACATACATTTTAATTTGAAAGGAAGTTTATATATATTTTCAAAATAGAAGAGAGGGTTCTGTAATTTAAGTAAAATAGAAGAGTAGTTATGTATTTTACTATATTTTTTACTATCTTCTAAATAGTTTTTTAAAGATCATTTATTAGAAATAAAAAATGTTTTCTTGGAAAATATGCAACAAAGTTGCCGGATTCCAAAGAGACATTTATTATTTATTCTAAATAAATGTGGAATAAAAACCCGATTTTGGTACTGAAGTTTTGCTAGGCAACAACCTTGTGTTGTATCTTGTCCTTTATCCAGTATATTTATATTTGACTTTTATAAAATAAAATATAAAATAATATATGAGTAAATTATTACTGAAGTTTGAAATATATGAAATATCTCGTCTATGATTTTTTTTTCAATCTATTAAATTGTGTGCCCCCACGGGAAATAATATTTGCTGGAAAAAAAACTCAGATCAAATTCTTAAATAATATTTGGTCATGTATTTTTCTTTGTTTTACATGGATTTATCATTAAATACTAATATTTTAAAAATAAGACACATGATTATATGTGATTAGAGTACTTAAGATAATAAATATAAAAAGTTTGACGTAAGTATTGCTCTATTTTTTTGCTCAAAAAAAAGTATTGCTCTATTTTGCCTACGCCGACCATGTGGACTGATGTATGATCAAGGGCTAAAAATGAATGCTCAGTTCAAGCCAATTGGGCTCGTTCGCCATAGAGCCCAATGAAGGCCTAGTGCCCATATTCTCCATGTTTCGGTTCAGCGGCTCCTGGATAACATGTTGGATGGTCTGAACATTCCTGGGGGTCCCTTCACCTTCCCAAACGTTTGCCCGGTGCATCATGAGAATTGAGAAGGGAAAAGCTGAGCTTACTCTTAAAGCCAACTTCCATCTTGTTCCCTTGCACCGAGGAAATTAATTCTTGTAGATGTATATCACCTCATATTTTTAGTATAAAACCCAATTGACTAATTTGAAAAAAATTAAGAAAGTTAGTTAAATTAGTTATTGGTAGTAAATAGATTTCTTTCCTAAAATACCCTCATTAATCATATGTGTTTGAATTACAAATTGAGAGTAACTCCTTAACATATATAACTATTGTAGGAATTAATTGAGAAAAAATGGATAAATATCAAAGATAGAATGGATTTGAGTCTTATATTTAAAATTAAATTAGAAGTTAAATTAACTCTTATAAAGAACCAAAGATAGTATAAGCACGACATAAAGAATCAAGACACATTAGCTGTTGAGAAAACAACATAACCTTAACTTATTCATCCCAAACAGCATTGTGGACTATCACACATTGTCTATATAGGATCCCACCCAAACCTCCAGGCATTCAAACTTGTCATCCACAACATTGTAGCTATTCTTAAATTTTATTTGGAATGAAGTATTGTCCCGTCTAGAATGAACTATTGAGAGGTTAAGATTGGAATTAAGATTAAAAAAACCTACTAAAAGAGTATTTGGTGTGAGAGATAGTTTGTTACTCGAGATGGGATAAACCCATATAAAATTAAGAAATACCAAAAGGGAATATGGCATTGAAAATTTCACCCTAAGATTACGATTTTTCAGAACAAGGGTTTTTTTTTTTTTTTTTTTAAGGCTGTTATGGTATTTCCGCAATTTATAATTAATTTAAAGTAAAAATTAATGCAATTATTACGTTTAAATATTACTCCATATCAAACATAATTTTAAAGGTCAATCTCACTTCCACACTCGATTCCATTACTATTTCCAAACCTTCAGAATTGAGACCCAGGCCACAAGCCAAAAACAGCCTAACAAGTCCACAAAATGCATTGTCTTTTGGAATAATCAAAGAACTCAACTGTACATATAAACTAATAAATAATACAATTAGTAAAGGACCAATCATTATCCATTTGCCCTGTTGTGTTGTGCGGGCAGCTGGCGATCATTTCATCAGTAATTAAGGTGTGTCCCTAAAGGCAGCGAAAGCATTACATGTCCAAATGGTTACCAGCAGCTTGCAAATTCGACTTCATCAGCTGAAACTCTTCCTAAACTGAATCTGCATGTTGTTGGCCAGTTTACGCAATAAGCATCAAGCTATGATGACTAATAAATAGGTTTTTGAAAACAAAAGGATAAAATAAAATTGATTTTTTATCATCATAAAAATAAGAAATTATTATTAAACTTATAACTGTGACAAACATATGCTCAGTGAGAGCTACATCATCTGCTACTTACTCTTACAAATTAACAAATAATAAGTATCAAGGCTCATGCCTATGAGGCTATGATTGAGAAAATAAAATTTAATTTAAAAGAATAAAGTAAAATGATAAGGATTTGTATGTATATCAATTTTCTATAATAAATATGCATATTTATTTAGCGCATTTTCTCACTAATTTCTCTTTTTGGATGCTTAAAATGCACAGACATACATAAAATATAGCTTAGAAACATAATTTAACTTTTTTAATTTTTTTTTAAAAATTTGGTTGACTCAAATCAATTCTGATTCACTAATAATTTTCTATTGGTTGAAGTCCTTTTCAAGTTTTATCCCTGAATAGGAGGTTCCCCCCCCCGGGTTAGAAGGGGTTTGGAAACCTTTGAATCATTTAAAAAAAGTGCTTTTATGCAAACCTGAGATTTAAAGTGCCTTGCATTAAATAGGACCAGAGATAAGTATTTTTTACTAATTTTTCTTAGAAATATAGGAATATTTTGTATCTACAAAATCATTTTATTTATTTTAATTTTCTTTCATTTAATTTTATTTTCTCTTCAAAGTTATTTCTAATATTTTTATTTAGTAGTATTTTGCAAATTTGTTTATTCCTTTTGAGTGGATCCTAATTACAATCAGCTTTCTAAAAATTAGAACAATCTTCTCTCTTATTCTTTCTCTTGGCGCAACCTCACTTATGGAAATGTAAGGAAGAAAAAAAAGAAATCAGCTACAAAACGGCATCACTTCAAGCAGCGGACGGGCAGCGGACCACACACGCGGCGGATAGAAGCCACTTCCCCTGTCAAACTGTAGCAAGTGAAAACTCACCAAAGGCGAACCGTACAATTTTATATCATAACACCTCGAACTTCAAATTTGGGAATATTACAAAAAAGTTACACTACATGCGTTCACATTGAAGACCCCAGGTTCCTTTTTAATTGCAAAAGCTGCCTCAAAAACATATAAAAATTGCATATTTCAAAAAAAGGTCAAATAAACTCGTAAAATTAAGCCGTTTAGCCAAACCCCTAACATAATCCTAATCATAACTTCACCAAATACGTCATTATAGGGACCTCATAGATTTTTAACCATTCCTTCTTTCCACGGCCATGGCATGCAGTGGGTGCTTCATTTCGCAGGACAGTTTTAGAACCTCGGAGATCTCAACGGGTCGAGTCGGGTCCTGGACCCACTTGAACCGTTGAACCAGCTTGGCCACCCACAGCGACACCGTCACGAGGCCAAGGTGTTTCCCGGGACAGACCCTTCGTCCCGCCCCGAACGGTGCCAGACGCAGATCAGAACCCCTGACGTCCACGTCAGCGCCACCTTCGTTCTCGAGAAACCTTTTCGGCGAGAACTCGAGCGGGGAATCCCACACACGGGGGTCGTGCGTGATGGCCCACATGTTCACCATCGCGGTTGTGTTGGCGGGAACCACCATCCGGTTGCTTAGGTGGACGTCCGACGTGGATAGTCGGGCCCACGACAGGAGTGGACCAGGTGGATGAACTCGCAGTGATTCCTTCACCACCGCCTGTAAGTACGGCATTCTCACCACGTGGGCATCTGTCACAATTCCTTCCTCCCCAACAATCTGGTGGATTTCACTGTAGAGCTTATCCTGCACCATCGGGTTCAAAACCAACTCTGCCATTGCCCACTCGGTCAGAAGCGCCGTCGTATCTGTTCCTCTGAATACCATTTC